CTGATAAAACAACTAAAAGGGCCTATCAAATGCCCCAATGCCTCATCCCAGAAATAATCACTTGAACTTTCTAAGGTTATTATTGACAAAACAAATATATAAACGTGTTTCCAGTAGGATAGGATATAATTAAGATATAGGACCAAAATCCTCAGGTCATTTGGCTTTTTGATGCAGAGAACTTGTAATGTTCGGCATGGACATGTGTGACAAAAGGCATGTCTAGTTAGATTTTCTTTTGATACAAATACCTTTCATTATACAACCTTTTTTTAAAACTTTATAGAGCTTTTGACTGACCAAGCAATTTCAAGGAAAAAGAACAAATACTTTTACAAACCTTCTTGCGTTCTTGACGAATGTTTTTCCTCTTGCTCTGCTTCATGTCCATCAAAAACTCATCAAAGCTGAACATGCAAGAACAAACTTATAACAATCAAGAAGAAACAAATACTTGTTAACAACTTAACATGATGTAATGGTAAATATGAACATATAGAAATGGGGACAAAAAATAAAGGTCTTCTAATGCTCTTCAGATGAAGCAAAACTGGTAATGTTAGCAGTTTCAATTACTTTACTGGCTTTTTCTTTGTTTGGAGATTAATGGTGGTGTCTCAGGCAGGTTGCGCACACCTAGACTTGTTCACCAGGTACCTTTTACCTCCCCCCAAGACAAGAACAAGGTAACTCGGTCTATCAAGGTTTAGGAAATGAATACAATTCACCTAGTGTCACCTATGCGAGATCCAAACCTTGGGAACAAGGTTGATACTGCAACTCTAAGACAGCAAGGCCAACTCCTTCCGTGGCTTTTGTGATAGAGGTACTACCAGTTCTAAAAGGAACCCCATTCAACCAAATTAGTAAATACCAATAAGGCCTTCCTTATCATTAAGCACCAAGCTCCTTCATCCATAAATCAACCAGGAGATGAAGCCTTCAGAATCTGTAGTTTGACAGGATGTAATATGACTGAATGAAATAAGATCACCTATTAAGAAGAAGAAAAAGAATAAAATACAAGCTACAACTATGTGGAATCCATTTCTAAGTCTCAGAGAAACTATCTCAAGTAAGAAGTAGATCTACATACTCACTTTTTATAATTACGATTTTTCCAATGATACTGCATTCCGGTCCTTTGCAGAAAACCTTTCTCCTCCAACTTGTGCCACTCATTTGAAGTTGGAAAAGTAATATGTAGAGATGAAACGTTGAACTGTCAAGGTAAAATGTCATCAGAATACAGGAAAATATGCATGTGAAATTATTAATGTATTCCAACTATGGTTGTTGACAGAAATAAAAAGGAGTTCCAGAATGTAATCTTACTAATAAACGTATGGGCCATATGGTAAACTATGAAATCATGTACTAGATTCTCCAGGTAATCACTTAGCACAAATTACTTTATGAATCCCTTAAACAATGTGACTCAACAGTAGTTACAATTCAAGAAGCCAAAAGAAGGAAACATCTTAGGACGAAAGCTACAGAGGAGCTAATTCATAAGCTTTGTCGCTTAAGAAGTAACTTCAACAAAATGAGAATTTTAAAGATTTTAACAGACCAATCACAATTTTTTCTCTAATTTGGTATGGTACTGGTCACTTTATGTCATGTGCCTAAACTTTATGAGCCATGCAAACACGGTTCCTTGACCACACTAATATTTCTGTTCTCAATCAAGCTGTCTGCTAGCATGCACATAGGGAACAGGTAGAATTGCAAATTCCTCAATTGCCTTTTGAGCTTGTATAGTAAGCTCTTACCACCAAAGGCAGCATTGACATCACTAGAAAGTAGCATATACTTAAAAGATCTCTTCCAAAAAACAGACATATCTTTTGGCTTCTTATAACTCACAAATCTTTATCAAGTCAGACAAAAAGAAATGATGCATTCCGTTAAATAATGATAACAGAAATATTGGCTTTAATACGCAGGATCTTCCATATCCAGTGAACAACAATTCATAAAAATAAAAAAGAAACAGACTTACAACTGGATGAGTTCATAAAAGTACTTATGAAATCCAAAGTACTACTAGGTGTGTTTGGACATAAAGAAAAGCATACCTTGACTGCCAAATCCTTCATTGCAGAGACCAGGATGTCAAAGACTTGATCTCTATGTGAAGTGTTACGGACCAAGATCCTTGGGCCAGTAACTGGAGTGAAAGGCACCGAGCATTGCAGCTTTGGATAATAGCTCAAACCATAATTGTAATAGGCATTTGCCCAAGAATTATCGAATACATATTCACCATAGGAATGGCTGCAAATTTGGATAAGAAGGAATTAACCAATGCACGTTGATTACATGGAGTAGAAAACTTATCTAAACAGAAGAAATAAAGTTCACATATAGAATTGACAGATTCTGAACCTTTTGAGATAGAGAGGAACAACACCTAAAATATTTTTACTTTCATCCTCAGCAATGATGTGTTGTGGAATCCAGCCAGTTCCCTGAGAGAGGACATAAGTTTTTCTTCCATCAAAATGAGGTCACAACAAGAACAGAGGCAGCATAAACTGAAGATAGATGATAGAAGAGATACAAGATTTGCTCCCTAGGTCTCTTATGAGTTCACCGAATGAGAATTAGGCTCACAGCTATTCCAACAATAATATTGAAAGATATGGAATGAATAAACAAAACAGTAAAAATAAGCAAAAGACAGAATATTTGCCACAACGGATATTATTGATATAGGCAGGCAGAAACAACTTTTTACTTGTATAAACATCACCAAACACAAAAAGACAGACAAACTGAGGAAAGAGAAACAATGGCAGGTGTAGTGTTCTTAACCATGCAACAAATAACCATTAAGGAAAGCATTTTCATGTAGAAGGTGATAATTGATAACCTCCACAGCAGAGCCAGACTCCTCTAAGCTCGAAAGAAAACCGTGTGAGAGAAAGGGATTAAACTGCTGATGACCTGTGGCATCCAGACTGCAAGAATCCCAATTATCTGGCGAAACCTCTGAGATTGAGGAAACCACAGAAACAGATATCTTTTCAGGAGTTCCTGTATCCCCCTAAAACAAAAGAGAAATCTAATGACGTTTGAAGCAATATCACAAGAAACTATCACTACAACTACCATAACTTTCAAAAGGGAAACTATATAAATACTAGTAACTATGAACGTTGTTTTCTTGATTTGTTTTGATAATGTCAGTGGTATGTTTCAACTACCCAAGAAAAAGAAAGGGAAATCCAAGAAATACCAGTGAATCCGCCTCAGATAAAGTGAATTCCCCAAGCGAAAGAACCTTGTCAGCAGGCTTTACACTTCTTCTTGAACCCCAAAACAGTGCTTTTACTTTGAAAATACAAACTGAATTGTGGGTAAAGTACGTAGATGAAGATTTCCCCTATAATACAAACAGAAAACAAGAAAACCATTAACCCTTGTTCCTGATACACCCTCAACCTAGATATCATTGAAATAACAAAGTGAATTGTGGGTATTGTGCGCAGATGAGGATTTCCCCTACAATACAAACAGAAAACAAGAAAACCATTAACCCTTGTTCTTGATACACCCTCAACCTAGATATCATTGAAAATACAAAGTAAATTGTGGGTAAAGTGCCCAGATGAGGACTCCCCTACAATACAAACAGAAAACAAGAAAACCATTAACCCCTTGTTCTTGATACACCCTCAACCTAGGAACCAAGAATCGGACTTGGAATTTCTAATTCTATGAAAGCAAAGCTACCTAGAAATCATTGAAAATCCATTATACAACCAAGAATCGGACTTGTAACTTCTAATTTTATGAAAACAAAAATATTCTGAATGAACTCGACCTATCTAAGCGAGCTTTGCAAAGTAAAAACCGACTATATCATTATCAAGAAAAGAGAAGAACGAAGAAGTACAAGATGGAAAGGAACATGGCCCAGAAATGGTGAAGAAGGAAGTGCCCCTGTAATGGCCATGGCTTCCCACGAAGTAGATAATTGGTTTAATTTGTATATTTATAGCGTGAAATTGCAGCCACCAAATAGTTGCAGACGTCGACTCCTGAAGGAGCATTTTAATGGTGTTTGGATTTATTTTTTCTTTATTTATTTGAACAAACGCGGGATTTTTTATTTTTTTTGTTTCTTTCTTCAACAACACTTTTTTATTCGAAATAACTGATACTCCATGATGTATCAAAGTAATATTTACTTGGATTTAATTTTTTTACTTAAATCATATAAAAGCCTGAAAATATGTTTTAGAACTTGATGATAAAAAATCCTCCAAACAATAAATTACTAGTACTTGGTTGGTGGGATAAGAGCAGTATTCTTTGATATCCTATAAAATTATTTTATTATGTGTTTGATAGTAGTAGAAATTAGTTCGAGAATTGTGTATTCCATCACTTTAGTATAAATGGTGAAATAAATTATATACTCATAGATACTCCCTCCGTCCACTTTAATTGTCATGTCGGCTGTTGCGCTTTTCGAAAGTCAATTGATTAATTTTCAAAGTTAAATTAAATTACATTAATTCAATATTTTAAACATTCAAAAACTATACAAAAATTACTATAAATTGCAATTTTTTGTAAATTAATATGAAAAAAATACATCATAAAATGTTAGTCAAAGTTTTTATAGTTTGACTCTAAAAAAAAGAAACTATAACAATTAAAAGTGGACGGAGATAGTATTTGTGTGGCTAAAAATCATTTCATTATTAATTATCATTAAAGATAAAATAGATATTTTAAAGTTAAATTGTTAAAACTATTAAATATAGAAATGTGTCATTCATTTTAAAACTGATTAAAAAAAAAAGTACACGTCATATAAAGTGAGTATGAGTTTAAGATAAGCTCATATAATTGATAGATGTGATGTTGGCCAACAAATTATACAGACTTTGTTGAATGAAAGAATGCACCTCATAATTATATCCCAAAAGCATCATTGGGAATGGAGATTATAGCAGTGTGGCAGTAACTACAGGGATCAAGTACTAGTTATTAGGCAAATCTGGTTATGTTATGGATCATATTCATAGGAGGATGACCAACTGATACATTATCAACTTTATCAAACAAATAGACAAAAAAGAATTTACATAAGCCTAAACTCCCTTTGACTCCCTATTGAAGTTGTCAAAACATTACAAATGTTTCAAATTTCCTAAACTCACAAAAACATAAGACAAACTCTGGGGAGAAGAAGATATCACACTCAGCGAAGGCAAAAACTGGTGGTTTCCATCATTCTGCTGCCTGTTAAAGCTAGTATGTATGTCACGTTACTGTGTAAACTTACACCGAAAGAGATGCCCCATTATCAGCCATGGTTAGATTTAGTATCATATTAGCCGCCTTTGGAGCCCTGACAAGGTAGAAGGATTTTAGACATAAGCAAACTTCCAGAGGAATATGAAATTCATCTTGAAGCAAATGCAATAACTTCAAATTGAAGCCTGAAGTGAAACATTCCAAGACAAACCCCAAATACCAATTGTATTAAGAAGTTGAAATTGCATTCAAACAGCCAAAGCAATCGTATAGAAGAAGTTCTTAGTTCTTGACAAGTTTGAGGAGGGGAGGGTGAAGTGAAAGGTATGAAGTACCATGACTCAGGTGTCTGGTATAGGGATGCTGAATTGCCAAAGCATGAGTGAAGCATGTCCGTGTAAATGACACCAGGATTAAGTGCAACAGCTGCCATTCCAGGGGGCAACTCCTTCGCAACTGACGCTGTCAAACCTTCAATCGCCCATTTTGAAGCACAATAGGGTGCCACCTGTGAAAATTTAATAACCAGGTCTCAACATTAGTGAAATAAGCTAGTAATGGAAATCCAAATAATAGGCTTTTTCATCATCCATTTGTATCTCGTAATCCTACATACATTAAGTTCTTCCTCGTTAACTTCCAAATCTTGAAGTGCCAGTTTAAAGTTCACATTTGAGACCCAAAAACAAATGCAACTTAGGTTCTTAAATGCTTAAAGGGTCATGTTTGAGTTCCATGGTCACTACAAATCATCTAGTGCAAATGTTCTCAAATGTCACCGAGATTATACAGCAAAATTTAGTTCATCAACTCTTTACATACTTTGAAATCCCTCAGTTATTAGGGACATAAAATATGAGATCTGATGCACAGTTGGCCACAAGAACCATCATTTTGGCAAATCATCAGCAATGTGACTAACAGACTAGAGTAGAACTATGAGAACTTATGGATAAAGTTTTGGTGATTACAGTAGAAACTGAGTTTTACCTGTGCCGCGCCAGATCTTCCCCATCCAGAAGACATATTTACGATCACTCCTTGCTTCTTCTCAAGCATTAGGGGAATAAAGTGACGCAGAACATTTGCAGTTCCTTTCAGGTTAGTATCAATGACAGAATCAAACTCTTCAGCTGGCACTTCCCAAAGTTTGTTGTTCCTATTAATAGTTCCCGCACAGTTCACTGAACGAGGTTCATATTTTAGGTTCGTTTGAATGTGAGATAACAAAGACCAGTACAAACAGTAGATTGTCAATTTAAAACCATAAAAGTGTAACTTGTCAATTCAGCAAACCTCAACAAGTTGGGTGAGTGACATGATCATTCAAGGGTTAAATTAGGTTAACTCAAATTAACACATCGAGAAGACTGGGTCAACATGGGCTAGTTACCGACCCCATATAAACCTGGAGCTTTGTCACATCACATTGTCTCCAAAAAAAATGGACAAACAAATGGCTTTGATGAAATATATATTTTTACTTTATTGCACAATGAAGCATTTTTAAGCAACTCAACTTTACAGCTATAAACTAGAAAAACATAAGCAAATAGAACAGTAGTGTTGAGTTAGGCAGTTTGGACTATAAGCCGTAGTCAACCCATCTTGATCCAACTCATTTCGACCTAAACAGACTTCAAAGAAATAGAGTCATTGACCCATTCATTGATTCAACCAATTTTTCTACCTATATCAACCTAACATTTATATTCAATGCTCTTAGGTAAGAGTAAATATACATCTAAACTTCCTACCTTTATTTTATAGCTAGAAACTTACCGTCAATGAATCAATCAACCACATCTCCATCAGAATCTAGAAAATGAACCTCGGTCATTATAAGTTTTCAATTTATTATAAGACACAAATTATATCCCTTGTCCCAGCAACTCGACTTGAGACACATAAAAATTTTAAAGCATGTGTCAACAGGCACATCAACTAAAGGTGCATGCATATACAGCTAGAAGCCTAGAACTTAGAAGCTGCAGCATTTAACTTCAAGTGCATGAATGTTCACTGCCACACTAAAAAAACGCACCAAATGCTTAACAACGGCAAAAGAATGAAGACACAATATGGCATAAATCATAATACATATTGATGAACAGCACAGAGCCTATGGCTACACTGGTCAGTCTTGAAACAGCTCAAGAAATACAAATAGAGAATATATAAGCCACTTCAACAATGAGAAGTCAGAAGCACTTGTTTTACCCTCTTCACTTAGGAGAAACCAGAACCAATATGCTCCCTCAATGCTAAGAAATTTGATTATCATCTTCAGAATAATTGTCATTCTTAAAGTAAATATATCATCAGGTAGTGATGCATAATCAAAGCGCAAAACATCAGAACTCCAGTACCTAAATTAGTATGTATGTGAAGATTAATTTCAGATCCTCAAGGACAAATATACTTTTTTTGTTTTTCTTTTTGCAAAAAGAATATTTTTAATTGAGGATCTGAAATTCTCAGACAAATATGTTCTCAAAGATCTGACAGGAAACTGAGAAATAACATCCTTAAATAGGATCAACTTTCTCCAATTTTTAGTCGATCCACCGCAGAGTGCTTTCAATAGGGAAGATATTCTTTCTTTAAATTAGAAGAACTCCCAAAATTTCAGAAAAACTTGTCTGAAATATTAAACATTTAAAAAAATAATCAATTCTGCGTTGTTGATAGGATGACAGGAATAGGGTTGCACTTAAATTTTTGTAATGGGAGAAAAGATAAGATCATTATGTCCTTTAATATTTTTAAAAAAAAAACTGTACAGCAGCAGCAAGGTTGTAAACCAAGTACCAATGATATCAGGAACGCCCTTTTTCTCCATAACAGCACGTGCGAACTCTTCAACACTGCTATTTAGACTCTGAAATTCCAAGGAAAAACACAAACTATGTTGATAGATGCATGTAGGCTAATGAGTGATTTTGATACACACGAACACACACATATATTCATTCTTGCAGTCAACCAATAGGTTTATTCACCATAATAACATTCAACTATGCCAAACACCTGAGCTTCAGATGAGAGCAACATGAAGAGCAAGTACTCAGGAATATAAACAGGGTACAAAGTATTGATTGGGGAGGTGCTAAAAAACTCGTACTCAACTTACTTACTCCCTCTCTCCTTAACCAACAAGGGTTTTTAGTTTTTACAAATAGTACTAGTGTCTTTTCTTTTTCCACTCATCGGGCACCTACCACTTCGCAACAACATTGAATAGCTTGGCAAGTCATCCTACACCAACCTGTCCAAGACACTTCCAAAACTCAAACCTCTATAAGAATACCATTTGGACCACAACCCCTTCCAAATATTATTCATGGCATCATTTACCTCACAGGCTACCTGATTCTACGATTGTATCTAAAAAAATATCAAAATGGGAAACCGGCGTATCTTCATTATATATTTTGGTCATTTAAAGTTATCATTTGAGTTCATGTCCCACATCATGTTTGTCCAATCCTATGTTATAGCCCTGAAGTCAATCAATTTGTGCCTTTAATTGAGCTTTGGGACTCAGTTTCTGTCTAACTATATTCTCAAAGTACTTCTCTCCAATTAAATAAGTAAGGAATACACTCTTCGACCCGAGAGAAATAGCCTTTACATTTTCCTTGTCTTTCATTCAACTCATCCTATCAGTCTTCCACTCAATTCATCCTCATTGTTTATAAACTAACCATACCCAGAACAGTCAAAACCCCACTTCAACTAAAGTAGTTGATATTTGTAGGATATCCTCCCCTTAGCCTACAGACCTTATTTTCAGCCTATCAACTTGTGCATATTGCAACTTGGATTTGTCGACTATATGCCCCACGATGTCTTAATTAGCTAAAGAAGTAACAATAATGCATTGAAGCTATTAGTATCCAGTTCAAAGATAAAGAGCTTCTTCTCTGTTCCCAATCTTCTATGTATGTTTCTCTATTACTTAAAACTAAAAAGTCTAAAAGAGCCTGTCGGAAGCATAAACCCTACTCTAGATGGATATATAAGTCCTTATATCTGCAGCTACTGCTGAGTTTCTAATGCATAATTGAAGCCATATTCCAAGAGAAGCACAACAATTTTCCAAGGAAGCAACCCCATACCACAGTAAACACAATGAAACAAGCAGCAAAACCAACAACATTACAAAGAAATATCATTCCATTGACAATGACCAACTTGAGTAATCTCTATAACGGAATTATTTAGTCAATTGTCCTCAGTAAACTACACTTAAACCAAAAGGGAAAAGAAAAACATGAGGTACAGATTTGAAATGCAAATACAGCTCGCACGTAACCGTATACAAGGAGAAGGGCGAGTGTGAAATAGAGGATTACCACATCGACGCTCATGAGGAGGTGGTTGTTCTCTGAAGGAGGATTAGTAGAGGAAGCGAGCTCGGTTTGAAAGGCATTGAGCTTGTCCTGAGAACGAGCGCAGCCGATGATGTAGTGTCCTCTCTTTGCCAATTCTAGGGCTAGGGCTTTTCCCAACCCTCGGCTCACGCCGGTGATTAGCAACGTCCGTATCGCTCCTCCGGCTGATCGCATACTCGGATTTCCTGCCGGAGTAGGCATTGGCGGTAGTGTCATGTCTTTATAAAAAAAATAAGCACAAGAAATACGCTTCTTTTCATTCCCGGCAGAATCGACTCTTTTTGTTTGTGTTTTTTACCACCTACTTTATTCCTGGCTTTGCTCATATTTTTTTTTTGTCAAAATTATTTATTTGAAAAAATACGTAAGTAGTAGTAAGTAATTACTCCCTCCGTCCCTATTTACTTGTCCATATTTATTCTTTTAGATGTCCCTATTTACTTGTCCATTTTGACAAATCAAGAAAGGACAAAAAAAAAATCCTAATATACCCTCATTTAAACTTCTTGAAAATTTAAACTCCCCCCAACATTGATTAGTTATCTTGAATAAATTTATTTTGGAATCATAATTAATAAGGGCAAAATTGTAACTTTACTATGCTAATCATTGTTGTCTTAATATGTGTGTCATTTCTAAAGTGGACAACTAAATAGGGACGGAGGGAGTATTATTGCTCATAGTATAAGGGCCCGTTTGGCCATGCGATATGGAATTTTTGTGTTGTATATTTTCTCA